AATTTAAGTGAGATAATGTCAGTAAAACATTTAGCAAAGTGAGTGCTCCCTTGACATATTGTAAATGCTTTTGGGGCGAGGAGGCAGCCAGGGTTGACCCAAGCCCCTGGCCCTGCACGTTCTCTGGGCCCTACCACACCCACAGGGCATGCAAGGAGGGGGCTGGGGCTGGCAGACAAAACTTCCCCAGGACTGATGTTGGGCCAGGAAGGTGGTGTGGGCTTCAGACAGCAGAAGGACCTATCATGTGTCTGGAGCACAGAGTGCCACCAGCTGGGCTGGAGTGCTCCCTCCAGAAGGAGCCAGGTGAGCACGTGGGAAGGGAGGTCAGGGGAGACTTGGACAGACAGTAGCTCAATGATAATAAATAACAATAGTATAATAATAGAATGTATTCATTTGTTGAATATTTACTGCTGTTCAAAGTCTATGTGAGCAAACCCATTATCCCCACAACCTTGAGAAATAGAGGTATTATTACCCTCAGTTCATAGGCAGCCCCTGAGGCCTAAACAGGTGACCTGCCCTACGTGCTCTGCTGACTGCAGGCTGTAACCCTTGGTTGCCCCAAGCTCCAAACCTGCTGCCTCTGACCCACCTGTTTTCTGGCATCTCCATAGGCAATATAGGGTGGGGAGTATAGGAACAATTATGGTCCATGGGTTCCAACCCCAACTTGTGCCCTGGATGTATGGTTTTGCTCACATATTTCACGTCTAAGTGCAGTTTCCTTATCTGTAAAATTGGAATGAAAAGCTTAACATTCTGGGATTATCCCGTGCATAAAAGACTCTGATATAAGTGTAATGAGCCCCTAGCATGGGAGCCAGTGCATGAGAATGGCTACAGAAGTATGACCACCTCTGGCCCTTGGGCACAGCCAGCCCAACTCCACAGGGTCCAGAAAGAGGGCTTATGGTCAGAGTGTGTGAGGAAGGATGGGAGGAGGGGTGCTGGGTCCCCAGCTGCTGAGAAGGAGCTAAGAATTAACAGCTGGGGCATTGGGGCTGTCACTAGGGCAGGTCATAAGGAAAGCTGCCATGGAGGTCCTAAAGGTATGCCAGCCAGATGGGCCCTATGTGGGCAGAGCTCACCCCTGCCTGTCAGGCAGTCACCCTCGTCCCCCAAGTCCATACCAGCTCCTCTCCCTGGGCCCCTGCCTCCACTCAAGCCAAGCTGGGACAATCCCTGCACAATCCTTCACAATCCATACAACCTACAGGCTTCCGGGCACTCTGAAGTAGTCACCACAAGGGAGAGGATGTCCAGCTTCCTTCCCCTGCCATTCTTTCTGCCATCCTTTGGAGGGCAAGAGGGAGGGAAGGGTGTGACATTTGGGAAGCCCTCCTGTGTGCCAGGCAAGTGCTGAGGACTCTATTTCCACTCACTAGATTCTCTCTCATTCCCCTACAACATGTGGCAAGAACCCCTAAGAGACCCCCTGCCTCCCCTCAACATCCTGGGTGAGCTGTGTTGCTCCAGCTCCAAGCCCTCCTCTGGGAGCTAGTTCTCTTACTCAGAGAAAAGCCAGCCTCTGCCAACCAGCAATGTGATTTTCAGTGAGTTGTGCCACCTCTCTGCTTCATTGCTGTCCATGAAAAGGGATACCTGTCTCTTGAGCTTGTTGTGACTGTTAAATGCCTGGAATAAAGTGTGCTTTGTGGTAAGTGCTACATAAACATTAGCTTGATCGTCATTGTCATCACCGTAGCCACAGCGCCCTGCAGTCTGGCCCCACTGCTTCAGCCTTGCAGCTCCCACCTCAGGGCCCTTACACCTGTGGCTTCACTGCCCAGAACACCTTCTCTTCCTTCTCCACAGAGCTTCTCCCCGACTACCTCTTTAATATTGACCTCACCCTCACCCCTCGCTCCCACCCCCACCCTGATTAGCACTTATCAGCACCTGACATGGGACATCGCTCACTCATTTACTTATCGTCTGCCCCCACTACATGCAAGCAGTGTAAGCTCCATGGAGCGGGATTTCTGTCGCTCTTACCCACGACTGTATCTCTAGCACCTAGAGCAGATTCCGGTGCAGAGTGGATGCTTAGTAATTATTTGCTGAATCCTTGGAGGAATCTTCACAGTAGCCTGATGAGACAGATGTCCATGCCTCCATCTTATGGAGAAGGAAGGAGGCTCAGAGGTCTGTGAGCTTGCCTGAGGCTACAGCTTGAGGAATGAGGGTTTGGGACCCGCAGCCCAGCTTTCTGCCTATCTCCACACGTAGTAATCATCTACCCACCCACCTTCCAAAGACTGGGTGACTTACACCGCACAAATGTATATTCTTAAAATTCTGAAGGTTGGGGACCTGAGTTCAGGGTGCCAGTATAGTCAGGATCTGGTGAGGGCTCTTTTCCTGGCTTACAGATGGCCACCTTCTAGATATGTCCTCACATGGTGAGGGGAGAGAGGGAAAAAGAGAGAGAGAGAAAG